CCCCGGCTTGCGTCTGGCCAACCACCGTCATACAAACACCAAGATTCTCAGCACCCACCAAAGGGTCACACAAGCCATGGGAGCTCGGACAGGGACCAAGAAGAGCTAGGGACAATGCCCCAGGACGCAGCCATGTACGGGAGACAAGGCACAGAGCGGGCCCCCCCAGCACAGGCCCCTGATTGCTGCCACAGGGAGCCCACCTACCAGGCACGATCTTCATTGGGGACAGCAGTGCAAGCCCACAGGCCGGACAGGGAATGGGCAAGGGGTGTGGGGAGGGTCACAGGCCCTTGGAGGAGCCGGTGAGCTGGGAGCAGCAGCGGGCACGGGAGGAGGGCAGCACCGCCTGTCAGCACAGAGCCTGTGCCGGGGGGAGGGGTGGGCAGGGGGCCGGGGGGCTATAAATATCCATGGAGGGTGAGCAGGGCGTCATCTGTCCAGACTTAGAACATGACGTGCGGGCCGTCCAGGTCCCGTTGGGCAGTGCCACCTGACACCCCCAGGCTCCCACCCAAGATTCTAATAAGAGTGGACAGCGGCCCCAGGAACCTGAGAAATGTGCTCCCCTGTGGGGTCACTGCCTCACCCCTGGGGGCACTTTGTGACACCACAGTGGACTCTTGTCACCCTTCCCCCAGAAGGCCCTGCACACCTCACTCAGCACCACACCTGGTTCCAGGATGGATCGTCCAGCTTCCCCAAGGTCAGGCTGCTGGCCAGTGACCCAGCTACCCAAAACTGAAGCTCAGGCCACAGAGCACCCACCCATGGGCGGAACTACCCCCTCCCCTAGCAGCACTGGTCTCCCAGGGCCTCTCCTGGCCAGGGAGAGAGCTGGTGTTGGCCCACCCAGACCCCATCTGGTCGGGCCTGCAGAATTGGGGGTCGGAAGCCTCTTAGCAGGCAAATCCATATCACATCCTGTACCAGCAGACCAAGGACAGGATGGGGAGGCGGTCACAGTTCTGTCCTCTTTGCCAAGTGCCTGCCCCAGAGCCTGCGCAGACAAACTCCAATAGGCCTCCACGGTGGACAGTCAAGCAGGTATCGTGCTGACCATTTGTTTAGTAGCACTTCTTGTGTGCCCAGCACAATCCTGGCTTGTTCTAAGAGAACCTGACTGTAGCCCTGTGAAAGCCCACAGCATCCCCTGGGTGGGCAGGCAGTTAACACGCTGGCTGCTACCCAGAGGTCCCTCAGAATAAAGACACGGCGATCTGCTTCCGAAAGTTCACAGCCTTGAAAACAGGAGAGTGTTGCGGGAGTCAGAACAGCCCCACTGCAACCAACAGCACCTCCCAGCCCTCAGGTCCCGAGTGGGAAGCGGCCAAAGCACTCAGCACCAGCCTCAGAGCAGCACAGAACAAAGGCCTGGCAATCGCAGACTGGCTTGTCACTTGCTAGCGTCCAGTCCAGCTCAGTCATTTCAGATGCAAAAGCAGCTCAGGCATGGTGAGCGGCTCAGCGAGGACTTCCCAACTGCCCTGTGGGACACAGAGTCCATGCAGCAGTGAGGAGAGGGCTCACATTCTCCAACCCCACCCTTCAGAAACTAATCTCCCAAGGAATCTGGCCTGCCGTGGGCAGTGGGCAGCCCTGAAGGTTAGGGACATGCGTTGCTCCCAAACAGACCCAAGACCTAGAGCCAGCCAGAGAGGTCACTGCTCAAACAAAATCAAGGGGCACAGCCAACCAAGCAGGCACCAGCCTTGGCCCTCTCTGTGCACTAGAAGACGCACCCAGGAGCCAGTGACTCAGAGGGCGTGCCCAAGGGGCAAGAGTGCCCTCATGGCAGCAGACACCCCTCGACTACCTCACAGACCCCCCACTCCCATGTCTCAGAAACCCTACCCTGCTGCCAGACACACCGAGGGGCTCAGTGGAGCAATGCTCCCCTGTACCGCGAGCTTCAGCCAAAAGGGCGTGAGGGCAGCATACAGGTGGACCAGCCCCCTCAAGCCCTGCCGCGCCCGACCCAGCCACTGCTCCTGGGCCCTGGTCCCCACCCAGCTGAAGGTCCACCTTGGCCCAGCTGAATGAGCTCCTCCATGCTGTACTGGTCCATGGCGCCAGAGAAGACCTGCTGTCCACAGCCCACAGCCCAGCAGGCAGAGAGGAAGAGAAGGCAGGAAGGAGGGAGGGCGGGAGGCAGGAGGGAGGGTGCTGGCTCCCGCCTCCCCACCCAGCCCCTTAGTCAGAGGCACTGGACCGGGGGGTCAGCATGGCCAGGAACAGCTAGTAGAGCAGCGGCCTCTGACCAACACCCCCAGCCCCTAGGGTCCACCAGCCTTTCCTCGCTGCCTGACCCACCTAGTGCGCTCCCCTTCCCTCTGAAGGGCCCTCCACAGGCTCCACTGGCCTGGCCATGAGGCCCCCACCTCACATTCCAGGCAAGTGCCCAGCAGCCTCTCCACATGGCCATGAGGGAGAGCACCCCTCTGTCTTGACACCCCAAGAGACTGCCAGGCAAACATGCCACATCAAGGTCCCAGTCTGTGTCCCACACCAGCATGGCTCCAGCACCCCCAACCCAGACCCTGGCCCTGAGGGTGTCCTAACCCACACCCCCCCACAGAGCACCCCCAGAGAGCTGCAGGAATAGTCCTGACACCAAAATCAAACTGCTGCCATGGGGAACTCCTGGTAGGCTAGGGGGGGCTCCTCATAGGTTGGAGGCTCCTCATAGGTTGGGGGGCTCCTCATAGGTTGGGGGCTCCTCATAGGCTGGGGGGCTTCTCAGAGGCTGGGGGGCTCCTCAGAGGCTGGGGGGGGACTCCTTGTAGGTTGAGTGGACCCTTCGTAGGCTGGGTGGATCCCTCATAGACTGGGGGGACTCCTCATGGCCTGGGGGGCTCCTCATGGCCTGGGGGGGCTCCTCATAGGCTGGGGGGCTCCTCATAGACTGGGGGGGCTCCTCATGGCCTGGGGGGGCTCCTCATAGACTGAGGGAACTCTTCATAGGCTGGGCAGACCCCTCGTAGGTTGTGGGAACTCCTCGTAGGCCGGGGGCACAACTGCTCACAGGCCCGTGTGAAAAAGCACATTTCCCTTGGTTCCCTCAACCCCTCCCGTCCTGCAGAGATTTCCCAAAAGTGCAAAATCACACGTCTGCAAATCCTGGACAGCCACAAACAGCCAGCTGGGGTGGAGGGCCCTAATGCGGGCAGAGGACCCCGCAAAGTGTTCACAGAAGTGTGTTGCAGAAATCCATGCTGACACGGGCCTGAGGGCACCACACTACACACTTCTGGTTTGTTGTGGGTGTTGACCCTGGGAAGCTGTGTTATTCGCAGTGTACACATGTATGACCTCGTGCAGCCTCCCCCACACAGAGCTGCACTGCCCCTAACCACCCAGTTCTCTGTCCTGCTGGGTCTCGATCTCGGGCCTCGCCCAGCTCATGTCCTCATGCCCAGAGGCTGAGTCTCCTAGGCCTGCCAGCCTCTACTGGAGCAAAAGGCGGGGAGAGGGGTACAGGAGGGGGTTTTGAGGGAGGGGAGCCCACAGCCCGGGGGGCACCCAAACAGAGGAAGAGGATCTGAGAGAGGTGAGCCCAGGGAAGGAAGCCTACAGGGGTACAGACAGGGGGATTCTGAGACAGAGAAGACTGTAAGTGCAGAGTCCACAGAGAACCCCACGGGAGGGGCTATACAGGAAGGGAAGCCCACAGGAGGGGAGTCCAGGGAAGGGGCCCAAAGGAGAGGGCTCTGAGAGAGGGGCTTGAGGGGGGGGTCTGTGGGAGGGGGTCTGATGGAGGGGGTTTCTGAGGAAGGGGCTCTGAGAGAGGTGACATGAACGAGGGGGTCCGCAGGAGGGAGACCCCCCACAGGAGGGGTCTTGGGGAGAGAGCCGCCTGACTCAGCTGAGAGCTGGAGCTCACTTCCGGTTGGAAACTCCTAGCCGCCACAGCCACGCAGGGAAGGGAGGACTGAGTCACCCTGGGGGGGGGGCCTGAGGCTCTGCCACCCCGACCACACCCTGCCCCCTCCCAGCTGCAAACTGCCCGCCCAACTGGACCAGGAAAAGGAAGGATGCAAGGAAGGGAGGGCAAGAGACTGGGCTGAAACCCTGACCCTAGGCAGCGGCAGAGGGAAACCAATCTGGTCACTGACTAGGTCCCCCGGCCCTCTGGTGCTCAAGGGGACACAGCGAGCCCACGTTTTACAAAGTCAGAGGTGTCCTTCTAGCCTAAGGTCCCCTGACCCCTCCCTGGGGGCCCTACTGCAGCCCATGCAGGCCAAGCATATCATGGCAGCCAGACTCCAGCTGCATGTGGCTACACCCCAGCCTGGAACCTGCACTTGAGAGCCCCCTCCACCTGCCACACCCTGCACACCCCTCCCAGCCAGCCCTGTCCCAAGCCCCCTGCTTGGTTTCCCCAGGAACTGCCGAAGCCTCAGGTCACACGGCACCTGTCTACCCACAAGAGGGGTACCAGAGATCCAGGGGCCTCGCTCAGCCGCGGCCTCTCTCTCGGAGCAGCTCCCACGTGGGCAGGGGTCCACCTTGACCCCTGCCCAGATCCAGTACGCCTGGCCTCGGCCCACCCACCGGCCCAGCATCGCCCAGTCAGATCGCATGGTGGTGCTCACACCTCTGACAAGGTCTAAGCCGTCCACAGAACACGCGGTGGTCCCCTCACACGCTGGACAACTGAAGCATGGTGACCCTCTGGCCCTGCCTGCGCAGAGGCCCCTGGGCAGCCAGGCCACCGCACCAGAAGGTGGAGTTCAACAGAGGCACCGGGGAAGGGCCTCCCCAAGGCCAGCTGACCCTGCCACGCCTACCTGCTGCCCCGCCCCCACCCGGGCGCCCAAGATGGGCTGGTGGGGAGCCCTCCATGGCCTGAGCACCCCAAGGCCCTGAGCACCCAGTGTCTGGAGAAACAGCTGCACCTGTCAGCCTGAGCAGACTGCAATCTCAGGAGAGGCTGGGGTCCCCGCGGCCCAGCACGCACCCACTCCCACCCTACCGGCCTGGGCCAGGGCGCAGCTGACCTGTGGCTGGGACAGGCTCTGGGCCGGGCGGTGCCAGCGTCCCAGGGGCAGTGACAGGCACTACGAGGGGCTCAGGCACCCCCTCCTCAGGCTCCTTCCGGCGGTAGGCCCGGCGCTCCTCTCTGGCGAGGTCCTGTGCGGGAAGCAGCCCCCGCTTGGGTGGGCAGCTCAGGGGGCCCTGCACAGCCTGCACGTGGGGGTTGCGGCGCGGGGACGTTGCCATGGCGACCGGCCGCCGCACGCGCTGCAGGGACGCTGGCACGATCTCTGGCGGCAGGCACAGGTACTGGCGCAGGTGGGCAATCCCCTCGTTGGTGAGGTACCAATAGCAGTGACGCCAGGCGAAGGTCTCCCGCACCAGACCCCGCGACCGCAGGGAGGCCATGGCGCGCATAACCTGCAGATTGGTGACGCCAGGCACGTGGGGATGCAGGCTGCGGGGTCGCCGGTCCTTCTTGGCCACCATCACGCCCTCGCGGAAGAGAGCCTCATAGATGACCCGCAGCTGGTCCAGCGGCATGAGCATGCCAGCCACCATGGCTACGACCGGGCGAGTGAGCGTGCGGGAGCTGGGCTGGGCACGGAGCGCGGGCGGCGTGGGGCCAGGCGCGTGGCGGGCAGGGGCGAGCAGGCCGGGCGCAGCGCGAGGGTGAGGACTGGGCTCTGAGCTCCGCGGCCGCTCGATCCTGCCCGCCCGCCGGCCTCCAGCCCGCCCCAGGCCGGCCCCTCTGACTCAGCACCCAGCGGCCCCGCCCACCCACACCATCGCCACAGACGAGGGGCGCCTCATGGCTGCAGCCCCCACAGCTGGCCCTCTCCCCTCCAGGGCCCAGGGCCTAATGGCAGAAATGACATCACTTTCTAAACTCGTCCTTCAAGGTTCCAAGTCTAGGACAGGGATGAGGTGGACAATGACTGGGAAGGGGGACGTGAAGAATGCAAAGAAAAAGAGGCAGGAAGGGGTAGGGGCAGGAATCGTGGGGGGTGTTTCAAGTCTGGGGGTGCTTTCAGGCCTTGAGGGGCTCGCTGAAGAGGAAGGGATGCCCAGGCAGCAGGGCTGACTCTGGATCAGAGGGCAGAGATTCAAGGGGGTGAAGTGGGGGTCCTGAAGGCTGAGGTCTGAGGAGACAGACAGGAGCAGCTGCAGGTGGACAGCTGAACTGGGCAGGAAGAAGGGAGGCAAAGTGCCCCCAAGCACCTGGCCTGGTTTAACACTTGTGCCAGGCATCCTGGGTACAGCACCCCTGGAAGGGGGGCCGGGAGGGGGGAGAAGCTCCACTCAGGGCCTCCACCATCCCCCTCCAGGCAGCTGTCAGAGACCAGAGTTTCAGCTGCCACCAGGGCTAGTGCCCCAATACACACAGAGGGACAGGCATTCCCAGCACAGGGGGCCCACACCCAAAGGGGAAGGATGGGCAAAAGGAAGTGCCACAGGCAAGGAAAGGCTGCAGTCCACGTGGGGGCCACACCCATGGGCACCCCCACACAGAGGTTCCAATTTATATTCTGAAGGTGCTCTCCTAAACCAACTCTTCCCAGGCTATGGCAAGCTACTCCCGCCAGGATGTGCCTACCACTACCACAGCTGGACACACCCATTCCCACCAAGCTCTACACACTAGGGAACTAGTTATAAATAGGGCGGGGGATCCCGGGCTAGGCCAGATCAGGCAGCTGTGGTGTGGGAGCGACTTTATAGGGTTATCACCATGGCAGCGCCTGTGACTCCAAATAGAGCCAGGGAGAGGGAAGGAGAGAGACAGAGATAGACAAGAGAGAGATAGACACAGAGAGAGAGAGACAGAGACAGACAAGAGAGAGACAGACACAGAGAGAGAGACAAGGGAGAGGGGGAGAGAGACAGACACAAAAAAGAGAGACAGACAGACACAGAGAGAAAGACAAGGAGAGGGGGAGAGAGAGAGAAAGGGCAGGCTGGCTCAGCAACTCCCACCACCCTCCCGCCTGGCCAGTTCCCTGCCAGCGCCTGCCCCACCGCCCCACCCCTTGACTGTTAGGCTGACTGCCTGGGAAAGCAGCCAGCGCAGGAGGCCAGCTCTGGGAGGCCAGAGGCGAATGGGCAGCAGCCACACCCACGTGTCCAGCAGAGCCCACCCGGAGGCCCGAGTTGCAGTTTACTTGGGCCCCCAGGCCAACACCATGGTGACTTTGAGATTAAAATCAGCTGCGCATGCAGACAGACAGTCTGGCCACTTTTGAGCCAAAGACCCCACTCTCCTGGCCCACATCTCAGTCCTCACACACTGACCTCCTGGGCTGCCCTACCCCTGTCCACCTCCCAGCGCCTTCCACTCTGGCCTTTGCTCTACACTCACTCCTCTGCAGGACTTCATCCCATGCCCATCCCACACATGCACGACATCTAGCAGAGGATTCTCCCATCAGATCAACAGCGCTCCTACATTATCTTAGACCATGCCCATGGCCCAGGGCTTTCTGCTGCACAGACCCGAACACGGTCCCTGCCCCAGCCCCCGCCCTTAGAGTTCACCCATGCGGGCCACCCCCCACCCATCAGTGCAGGCGAGGCAGCACTCGCTCCCACGAGGGCGGGGCTTGGCGGGAAACCCCCTTCCTTTCCAGCTCTGCAGAGGGAGGAAGGGCAGGCAGGAGCCAGGGCGGGACATTCCCTGCCCGCAGCTCCCTCCCCCCCCTCCCGGCGGCATGCGCCCCCCTCCGAGCCGCAGCCACAGTTGCTGATTCAGCGCCGGCTGACTCTAGGCCTCACTGGGTTTCCAGGGTAACTAGTCGCGGCCCTGGAGCAGCCCCCCACCCAGGACAAAGAACCGTAGTGTGGACTGGCCAGAACCAGCCCGCCTGGCGCCTCTGCCTCTGCGCTGCAAACCCCGGGGTTTTGCCCAAGCTCAACAGCCTAGGGCTGCAGAAGCAAAGCCCGGCGTCCACGGCCCCAGGAAACGCTGACTGCTTAAAGGCCGCGCTTCTCCCTCCGCCCCGCCCCTGGCGCTGCAGCCCGCCCCGCCCCCGACACGCCGCGAGGCCGCAGAGCCGCGGTGGGGCCCCGCAGACTGACCGGTGCAGCCCTGAGCCTCCGAGCAGAGGGGAGCAGAGGGGCCCCGCAGACTGACCGGTGCAGCCCTGAGCCTCCGATCAGAGGGGCCCCGCAGACTGACCGGTGCAGCCCTGAGCCTCCGAGCAGAGGGGAGCAGAGGGGCCCCGCAGACTGACCGGTGCAGCCCTGAGCCTCCGAGCAGAGGGGCCCCGCAGACTGACCGGTGCAGCCCTGCACCTCTGCTCCAGGGGACCCCGCAGACTGGCCGGTGCAGCCCTGCGCCTCCGCGCCGGGGGACCACGCAGACTGACCGTGCGCCCAGCCGCTCCACCTCTGCATCCCAGCAGACTCGGCCAGCACCCAGTGGGGGCTGCACCAACTGGAGGTCAAGCGTGGTCCACGCACCCCAGGCCCCGGCCAGTACCTTTGAGAGAGCTAATCTCGTGCTGGATGGCTCGCGAGGGGTCCATGTCTCCACCAGGACCTGCGAGCGGCCTCGAGGCCACCAAGCAGCGACCAGCCCCTCACCGCACCACCCGCTCGTGCCGCAGCCTGGGGGAAGGGCCACAGGGGCGGAGCGGGGTTTGCCCGGCCAGGGGCGGAGCTTCAGCCGATCAATGCACAGGCCACAGGCCAGCCTGGGCGCATGCTCCCAGGCCACGCACCACTTCCCAGACACAGCTTCTGCACACCAGGCCCCTCGGACTACAGCCTTCGGCCAGGCCAGATCCGTGTGCTGACCCCACCCTACTCTGCAGTCCCTGTGGCCCCTCTCTCACCACGAGATGTCACCTCAATGGCCTGAGGGGTGCACCTGTACCAGCTGGCTGGCCGCCTAGCCTGAGCCTCGCCCCGCCCACCCACAGTCTTGCCCCCCTTTCCATCAAGTCACATCACAGACACTTGGGTGGACGCCCTCTGTGCTGACAGCTTCCAAATCACACAGGACACCCCCCCTTTCCCACCAGCCTCTGCGGCTGGGCTCACCTGACCGGACTCCTCACTGCTCCCAGGATTTTACCTCTGGGGCACCATCTACTGTCCAGCACGCAGATCAGAAATCCACAGTCACTCTCAGGCCTCCCTAAGCCCTGTTACCAGTCTACAGTCTTACATCCCAATCATGTTGGCCACCACTGTTCCAGGCTGGCCACATTTACGCCAGAACCACTGGGTGGCTCCTTCCTAGCCACTAAGGTCAGCGCCGGGAGGTGGACAGCTTTGACCCTTGCCAGAGCCACAGAAAGTGGTACAAGGATGTCTGAGGGTGCCTGGGCCTCATTCCAGTAAGACTGCTGTACTGGGCAGTGCTGGGCAGGTCATCCTACTCAGTCTCACCACTATCACCCCTTCCCCCCACCCTGGCCAAGCCACTTGGGCCATAAGAAGACCTGTGCTGTACCAGTTCCAAGATAGGGTTCAAAGCGAGGGTGACAGCCAGTGAATGGCACAGAGAAAAGTCAGGTGCCAGCCCACCGGCAATTCTGGGCCTCACCTCACAACAACTCCATACTCCCGAGACTTGGCACTGGCATGGGTTAAGGAAAAGACCAGCGGCCAGACTCTGGGGAAGTGATAGTTAGGGTGAAAAGGGAACCGTGTGGGTCGTTTCTACTGAACTGTTCTTTCCCGAATGAAACCCCTAAGTGATGCATTAGCGCAGAAGAGTGTGGGTCTAGTCTACTGGAGGCACTCCACAGACACAACTCTGCACACACGCAGGCCACGAGGCACCAAGGAGTTAATCGGTTTTTCTGAATTTAGCTCTAAGTGAAGAGCACCACCTCACAAGAACTCAGACTCACTTCTCCAGCTGGTCCTGGGCCCTCTCACCCAGCAGCTTCCATGGCTGGGAATCTCCTGGGAGGAGACGGGCCAGCTTTCACACTTGAAGCTGCTGGTAGTTTCAAACCACAGGAGACACCCCACAAGCCGGTACTATATTATTTTTGTTACTGTGTGCCTTAGAGTCAGAACGGATTTGTAGCTGACCCTCCAGTGTGTCTCCAGAGGTTGTAAATCCCACGAGAGACTGCCCGTCTTTCACGTACAGAGCTGCTGATGGGTTCAAACCACCTGCCTTTTGGTTGGCAGGGCAACTCCTTATCCAACAGACCACCAGAGCTGCCTCATATCATTTGACTAAACTTCAGATGAAACTGAAATATTTAAATAAACAGATGTAAATATTGTGGGAAACTCACTAAAAAATAAGTTCAAAAAAACAATGCTGGTTCTCTTTTTCTGAATCGCCTCAAACTGAATTTCCTGAGAAGCTGACTTTAAGGTAATGAAAGGTGAGTATAGGAAGGGCAAAGGGGACCCTTACTGGCCCAAAAGGTTAAGCACTCAACTTACACTCTGCCCAGCTCAAGGCTGTCAAGTGCCGTCGAGTTGTAGACAACTCATAGCGACCCTATGAATGAAAGGCTTGAACACTTTTATAACTTTTGTCGTTTCTCCAAGTTCAGAGGGTTTCCAGAGGCAAGCTATTTCAGAAGTGGATA